TTAAGTGAAAATAATAGCCCATAAGTCAACTCTTCTTGGGAGCCAGGGGACACAAGGTGTCTCAGAATGTTAGTGCTGGGAGAGTCTTAGGGGTCACCTCCTGTGTGCATATTTACCCCTGAGGGAAACTGAATTGCTCAGGGCCCTCCAGTGAGAAAACCTGGCTTCTAACCCTAGCCATGCTCTTCCCTCAAAACCATAAGGGTGCAAAAGAGATGGAGCTGAGTGGTAGGCTGGAGATTCAGAAATGTTGGCACAGTAGGGCCACATCAAAGATAGCTTTCTCAAGGTGGTGGCGTTGGCGGTGAAATGTCTCAAAATAGCCATGATGGGCATGTCTTGGCCGTTCTGGAGTTGCCCATTTCTCCTGGCAGCTTCGCCCTTCTTCTGTCTACTACAGCATCAGTATCATCTCAAGGCTCCTGAGCCACGTCTGACCCAGTTCGTCTCACTGTTGCTTCTTCCTATCGCAGAGGTGTGAAGCTTCAGGGTCAGTCTAGAATTAAAACAGCCTTGCAGGAGAATCAAAGAAGAGTTCAGTGCATTCTTACCACTAGGCTCTCCCTAAGGTGGAAATTCATGCCTCCTCCACATCTGTTCTTCCAATATTATCAGACCGGACTAAGAGAATTAGCAGATGAAATTGTGTATCCATATAATTCCCCATCATCACTATAGTTTTATCAAAAGATTTAAAGTAAACTCCAGAAATCTATTTCTATCTCTGTTTCTAGGATCTCCAGTAGGAGACAATTCCCCTGCAATGCAGTAGCTTTGGGGTTTTTCCAGAATCAAATCCCAGCTCCACCACTTACAGCTGTGTGATCCTGCGCAGTTACTCAGACTCAATGAATCTCAGCTGTCCTCATCTGCAAAATCTCCTCATCTGCAAAACGGTGATAACAATACTGTGGTATGGTGATAACCTCCAAAGGCTGTTGTTCCGAATTAACATGTGTCAAGCCCTTGGCATCTATCAGACACTCAAGAGAGCTGGGGCTCTGAATTTAGGCTTGGGAGTAAGCTGGAAGTAGATCTTGGATTAGAAATTCAACCAAGATGAGAATAAGAAAGAAATTGGACAAAACAAGGGAAAAAAACCCAGAAAGCAATGAGAGCAGGCATGTGTCTGACAGCAGGACTGCACCTGAGTGCTGGTCACCGATATCTTCTTCCTTGAATTCCTGGATCAGTAGGCATCGAAATGCATACACTCCTAAGCAGCATCCTTATTAAATTAATGTATACTAAAACACTTTAAAAAATCTAATATGCTAGAGCAACCTAAAAGACAATGATGTCAGATGCTTATAGTTGCAATAAATAGAGATTTGTTAACGTTCTCTCATAAATGGAGAAAGCAGGGGACCAGAAGATGGTATTGTAAAATATCCATGGAAAACAGGAATTTTACCAGTAATCAAATCCCATAGGAACCCAAGAAAAGCTCAGCACTCAGGTCACACAGAGCCTTGTACAGGAAAACTGCTCAGGATCCAAGGCATTTTGAGCGGTTTGATGATCTTGTCCCCTTTCAGAAGTAGTTCATGGATCCCTACGCCTCCCCAGTTAACACTCAGCTGCTCTCTGTCAGCTTCTGTGTGTCTTCTCATTGCTCCTTCCTCTCCTAAACAGCTGATGCTCTCTGAGGGAGGACTCTAACACATATTCCCAGACGGTAATTGGCTAAGCCAAGGAGAGTCTCTGAAGTCCCCATCCAGGCAGAGTTTTTCCTGCAGGGTAATTTTTCACCAATTAGCCCACGGGTTGGCTGCCCTTGGGCCAGGTCCCCACCCCAGATCCTACCAGCTGAGGACCAATGTGGAGCGTCAGGGAAACACAAACAGGGAGCTCCTGGGGCCTTCGCCCACAACAAGGTCTTTGGCCTGGAATGCTTTTCCTACAAGAGGATTCTGAGCGTGGTTGACGATGATATATTAATTGATTATCATTGGAGAAGGGAAAAAAAGAAAAAAAGAAAAAACCAAAAAACTCATGCCCAACATCAAACTAGGAGACTCAAAAAGTTAGGAAAATACAGTGTTAAATCCTATCAAATGTTTCACACAGGTCAATTTCAAACACATCACTGTTCAAAGCATACAGAAAATCTTGATTTACTTAAAAAACTATAATTAAAAATGCTTAGGCCAAACTGCTTCATGGAACCATTTGAGACAATAGACTTTGTAGAACGAGGTGAGCTACGAGGACCTACCACAAGATGGCAGCATTATCCCATCTGTGCTTTACCAAGCGGCAAGTCTAAGACGTGCTCGTCTGCTGAGCCTGCTCTAAAACTGCCCAGCTCTGCCCTGAAGCCATTCTTAAGAGTTCTGGGCAGGCCCTAGCTGATAGGGCAGGTGGAAATCTAAACAGCAGATGTGGCGTTGTTCCCCTACAGTCCAGTACACCCACCATCTCTGAACTCCTTTGATTCCCAAGATCTTGGGTCTGGCTATCATTATTTTTCAGTCTAATTGAATATGGAATTAGTCATAGAAGCAGCGCCTTAGGTATCCAAGGATTACAGTCTCCTTGTCCATGTTTGATTTGCAGAAATTTAATCTTTTTTTTTTTTTTTTTTTTTTTTTTAAAGATTTTTTTTTTTTTTTTTTTCCTTTTTCTCCCCAAAGCCCCCCGGTACATAGTTGTGCATTCTTCGTTGTGGGTTCTTCTAGTTGTGGCATGTGGGACGCTGCCTCAGCGTGGTCTGATGAGCAGTGCCATGTCCGCGCCCAGGATTCGAACCAACGAAACACTGGGCCGCCTGCAGCAGAGCGCGCGAACTTAACCACTCAGCCACGGGGCCAGCCCCAGAAATTTAATCTTTTTATTGTAACATTCCTTATTTGGCATTTATGTAATGCAGTTTTTTATTATAGCTACTTTTCATGTCTGCATAATCTCACACTAGATTCAATTCAATCTCAACTCTGATGGTTATTTCTATGTGGCAACTTGGCTAGACCACAGTATCTAGATAATTGGTCAAATACCAGTCTAGATGTTGCTGTGAAGGTATTTTTTAGATGAGACTAACATTTAAATCAGTGGACCTTAAGTAATGCAGATTACCATCCATAATGTGGTGGACCCCGATCAATCAGTTGAAGACTGACGTCACCTGAGGAAGAAGGAATCCTGCCTCTAGACTGCCTTTGGACTCAAGCTTCAACATCAGCTCTTCCCTATGTCTCCAGCCTGCCAGCCTGCCCTGCACATTTTGGAACTGCCAGCCCCTACAATCATGTAAGCCAATTCCTTAAACCCAGTATCTATACACACACACACACATCCTATTAGTACTGTTTCTCTGGAGAACCCTGATTAACACACCAACTATAGGCCAGGCTCTACTGCATGGAATAAAAAGGTGATTAAGAAATATCCTCATCTTGAGAGCCACATGAACACATAACTAATGCTGTACATATGAAGGCAAATGTATTATGAGGTAGTATGGGAACAGAGAAAAAGAAATTCTTTGGGAAGTGGTCTGAAAAACCATAAAGTGACATTTGAGTTGCAAAGAATGAATAAGTGTCCAAAAGGCAGACATTATAGGATAAAGGATCCCAGGCAGAGGAAACCCTGTAAGCAAAAACAGACGTGCAAAAAGGGGCAAACTAAGTTCCTCCCACCCCACGTGGATATATGACTTCCAGATACTATGTATAACACTCAACGTTTCTTCAGCTCCTACTATTCTGTTAAGGGTTTTTATGCATAAATCATGAAACCTTACAACCTTATGAAGCTAGAAACACTTATTATCCCAACTTCACAATTTAGGAATCTGAGGTACACAGGGTTTCAGCAAGTCCAAGGCCCCAAATCAAGCAGGCATATAAACCACAGCAGTGTGACTTCAGAGTCCACAATCCTAACCACTATATTACTAAGACGTTACATACTTTAAAATGTAGAACTTCATGATCAAAGCAGAGGCCAGGAATCTTCAGGTCTATATACACATTTTTGTTTCTTAGTACTCCCTTGCACCAAGTGTTCAATATACTTTTTGACTGTCTTTTCCAAAGTTCTAATGAAAGTCCAGCCTAGAATAGGAGTAAGCAGCACCCATACATGCTCAGAGTGGCCTTCAGCCCCGTCCTCGTGCACATCTGAGCACTGCAGGCCTCCTGAAGCACATGAGGAGTGTATTTATGATCTAAACCAGAAGGAGCAGCTACAACCTTCTCTTCCGTTTACAATGAACTGACAGTAGGGGGCGACCTTTCACTACTTTTATCCTAAAATACGTGGATATTTTAATAATTTATCATCCTATAAGCCTCCCTTATTCAGGGTACACGAAGGATACATTGCCTTTCCCATCTACATCTGTGCTGGCCTTTCCTTTCCTCTTTCTCCATTACCACACCCATCCCACCCAAAATTTCACCTGCCTTCTCTTTGCCTCCCTTCCTTCACGTTGTGTTTCTTTGTGTGCTTTAAGAGCTTTTCAAACTAGTCATTGGAACTGTCTCCCTTAACTACTCCCTTTACTCTCTTAACGGCTTTGAAAATAAACCTAGTCTCAAATGCTAGCACCAAAATGCTAACCTGAAGACTACATGGCATCTGGCCTCACACATGCAAACAAAGCTAAAACAGTATGAACAAGCTAGCCACACAACAAACCTTAAATATCTGGTTAACATGAACAAACTCGTAATACGGGAACTATCTTCATCCAAAAGGAAAAGCTATAAAGTAAGTACCTAAGTAAATACATGCACAGTGAGGTTTGGAGGTTTTATGATTAAGAATCATGGCTTTGGAGGAAATTATATACATATGCAGCAGCAACAGTGCTAGGATCTGAAAAGGATTTCGTGAGTGGACCAGCCAGTTCCTCACACAATTTACAGAGAACATTAAGAGGAAAATGACAGGAGAGGAAAGCAAAGCAGTGGAATGTTTGAAATAATGTACCTAAAGGGAACTACACAGTGCTGGGCACACAACAGTGCTGGATAAATGACACTGGATAATTCAGAGACTTTTTTTTATTAAATGTGTAAAAAGTAATCCTCATTTCACAAGCTCAATATCAGACAAATGTATGAGGTGTATAATTGGCATATTTACAAACTGTATCCACCCAAACGCTCACTGCGGACACAATCCATAGTACATTCAGCATCTGCATATTTACATGACACCCAGTGCAATGGAAATACAAAATTAACGCCTATCATTTTAGTTCAGTACAGATATGATATAGTTTCAAAATAAAGGTAATTTTTTCAGCCAAAAAACAGAATCCTCCCAAGTACCAATTCATTATTTTGTGCAAAAATACAGCAGGACTAATTATAAGGGTTCCACTCAGGTTTAGTCAGTAAGATATGTTTCTATGCTCCTAAAATACAGCTACAGTTTTAGGTTTTAATTACTAGAGTAACAGTACTTCTCACTTACAATTGACCTAAAAAAGTAGATGCTAACATACATTCTTGACACTTTAAAACATCTTCAAAACCCAAATAATACAATTCTAAAAGTATCTATGTGCCTTCCCATTCATCTGATAAACGTGATTTTAATACAGGTCACCAAAGTTCAATTAATTAACCAGAATTCTATATCTATGTCCTGCCTGCTATCTATTTCAGTCTTAAATCCGACTTTATATCAAAAGCAGCAATTCAGAATTTATTTCATAAGATTAATCCCAAGAGTTACTGGGTAGCTTTGAAACTATTTCACTACTTACAAATATAACACTAGATAGTCTAGACTGGTGGTTCTTTGCATCAGAATTATCCATGGAGCTCTTTAAAATTTACATGAGTCTCCCCTACCAAACTAATGAGTAAGAATCTTCCAGAATGTCAGTATTTTTTTTAAAGTTCCCAGGTGATAATGATATGCAGTTTAGTGTGGGAACCTCTGACCTAGAAAAGCCAGACCAGTGCAGTGGTTCTCAACTTTTAAGGTACATCAGAATCACTTGGGGAAACTTTAAAAAAAAAAAAAGGCAAAACAAACAAACATTTGCTTCGGTGGATTGAGAGTGGTGTCCAGGAGGCAGCATTTTAAATAATCATTGCAGTTGGTCCACAAACCACTCTGAGAAACAACGCACAGCCTTTGTTAGATTTTAAATGAGTACATTCAGCAATTTAGGTGACATTGTCCTGCAAGTTCTAATGAATCCTGCCCTAGGAGTTTCAGCTAGTGTTTGAGGAGAACACATAGCCTTTTTAAGTAAAATATATCTATATTCTTAAATATAAGGTCAAAGTCAAGTGAAGTGTGAGATCATAATTCATTCATAAAGAAGGCGAAGGCTTTCAAACAAACTAAACCTTTAAACAGACCAGTTCTTAGCACTCAACTTAAATCCAAGGCCCTCTCCATCATTAACTAGCCTGAGAGGTGATCAGAGGTAGTGATTCCAGCTTACCAAAAATGTAATGCAGATCATAACAGATACACATTCTAATCATACAGCCTTACAGGTTCTGTACAGTCTCTATGGAACAGAGACTGAAGACCAGTTGGGTGTTAAATAATACTAAAACAGTGAATAACATACTCTCAATATTAAACAATGAAACTTCATAATATTTCCCTCACATAATAAGTTTCTACATATAATACTGGACGGAAAAATCTAGAAAACACTAAAGGTATCATGCTGCCTCTTTTGTGTAGAAATTATTTACTAATTTTTCACCATTCCTGTCATTATCTACAGAATGGGCAGTTGATATATACCATTCTACTTCAAGAATTTTTTAAAAGCACAAAAAAGTAACCACATTAAGGCCACACAGCCAATCAGAGGATAGACAGAACCAGCGATGAGACCTCCCATTTGGAAAGATGGGCTGCTCCTCTGATAAACCTGACAACTGTATCTCAGTGTGTGACAACTCAGTTACTAAGTATTACAAATATTTAAGCATTTGTGTGTGACAGTTCCACCACCACTGCCACACTTTAGGAACAGATATAATCTCCTTTGAACCCAGAAGTTTCGTAAGAACTAAACAGCAACAACAATGCTAAGAAGCAGACAGAGCACACAGTTAGCCGAATCTGGCATCTTGCTCACCTATCCCATGTCTAAGACGCTATTATTTCCTGTGTGCACACTTTCTAGCATGTTCTGCACAAGGGCTTACACCACCTCTTTTCCAGTGGCCTACGTGATTAACCAGTTGGCATTTCTTCTTAACCAAGTAATGAAAAGGCAATTGCCAAAATCCAGCAATGTACCACCAGAAAGGCAAGTCGTTTCATAAAATAAGAAACTGTAACTTTTAAATCCACACTTATTAAGAACCTAAAAAATTCACACTGATTTTTAACCACTTAGAGTCTAGACTATTAAAACAATCAAACCATTCTCCAGTTTATAAATGATTCAAAGCCAAAATAAGGAATCTTAAAATTAAGCAAAAGAGAAGTTGAAAAAGTTACATATAAATATCCAAACCAACACACATTATGTCTTCTACTTAGAAAACAAGCTTCTTTAAAGGCTGAAATGAAGATATGCAGACACAGGGCTTCTGGGAAAAGGATTTCAAAATGTGACACACTGGTATAAGGCACCACTTTAACTTCAGTCACCACTTAAGTCATCTTACATCCAAAGAACACAGGATAGGGGAAGGAACACACACACACGTCCGACTCCTCACGTCCGTTTAGCTGGTTTGGCAGTTAACTGCTTTTCTCTTTCAAATTCCTTCTCTCGTTGCTGTTCCCTTTCCAACTCTTCTTTTTGCCTCTTCTGCTGCAGCTTAAGTGCTCTTTTCTAAAAAATTTAAAAGCCAAGAGAACACTCAAGGGTTATAGGTTATAGCCTAATTTAAAAGTAATATTGCTTTGAATTGAGGTAAACAATACATATTAAATTTCATGTTTAACGTTTAAATTTGTTCTGGGTAATTTAAGGTCTACTTTGATACAAAAAAAAAATGTTACTCCAAACTCCTATTAAATGAGAATTGCAGTGACATATTCAGAGAATATGAGCCTACTAGCCCAGCTACTAGGAGAAAAGCCCAGAGTGGGGTTCAAGGCTCTATGTTTTAAAAGAAAACAATGTACCATGAATTAAGTATGTTACTGTATATGGATATATAAGTCAGAAAATGAATACTGAAGAAAGACTGTGAATCTCTACTTTTATAACAAATGTGAAAGAATTTTCAACTCACTTTTAACTTTGATGTCTTTTCATGAAGCATCAGCATCTCTTTTCTTATATTCACCAACTTGGCATGATAGTGTTTCGCTTCAGTGAACTTAACATGGAAAAGGAAATGAAAAGTCAAGTTAAAACAGACTGAAATATCAAAATGCATAAATAAGTCAATGCCTAAATTACAGTTCGTTCTTTTAAGTTGGTCAAATTTTTTAAAGCCTTAGTCCTTTCCACATTTTAATTCCAAAATTCAAATTTCATTTAAACCATTAGTCAGATTTTGAAAACACCTGATTCAGTTCAGACAGATAAAAAAGAGGTACTAAACATGAAATAGGTATTTATACTGCGTACACATGAAATTTTGCTTTAAAAACAGGCAATATATGAAATTCCAGGAAGACTATCCAATAACGCTACCGGTTTCACTTTAGAAAAGTCAAGCCCTCTCCACTGGCTTCACGGGGAGAGCGCGAGCCGCGGAACGTGGGCCAGTTCGAGTGAAGCGTCTGCCCATCAGGGAAAATCAAGCCGTGCCCAGGGAGCCCTGAGAGGGCTGTGGACAAGTTGCATCATGTCCTTGGGCTTCTGAAGTCAGACCAAGCAGAAGAACCTCTGTGAGGACATTTTTCTTCCCAAGGAGTGATAAGTATAGACTTTCCATCTCAGCCAGAGAGGGGACAGAAGGAAAAAAGCACCTCACTCTGAGGCAAGGTAACAGAAAGAGAAGACCAGCTAAGAAAAATGAGAGAAGTGTCAGTGGAGATTAGCCACCTTCACGTAGCCACAAGTCACGTCACAGTCTGATGAGCTCTAGAGCTTACAGACCCTCTTTCTCTCTCTGGGCCTTACAGTTTTCAGTTCCTAAATGAGAATCAAACCCACTCTTGGGCTGAGAGAAGAAAAACGAGTTAGACTTAGTTTCTGCCCCTTCAGACTGAAGCAACAGTATTACATCTGCTTCGTTCATTCATTTATCATTCATTCATTCAACAATTACTGGTTCTGCTGCACCATGAACTCAGTGGGGAAGACAAAAGTAGGTCAGTTGAGCCCAGCCCACTTCCTTCACAAGAAGTCAGGACTACTGAGTAGAAGACTTTGTATTTACTACCACAGGCCCCTGCCTAATGCTAGAGAAGACGGACTTTGTTTTTGATTGTTATAAACAGAAAACATTAATAAGCCACATTTGTCCAAAGAAAAGTCCATTTTTTGAGGTGTGTATGAAAGTCCGCAAAATCATGCAAACCAAGCTATTTCTAATATTTGAGGTAAAAAGGAAGGCAGTCACAAGTTTCTTATTCTTGTTAATTCCGTCTCTTAAAATAAAGAGTATCAGTTCCTCTTATCAAAAAGCTAGACCTTCTGACGAAATTCAACAATTGTCATTTACTGTCAGAATGCGGCTTTGGAATAGATATAAAAGGTCCGAAAAGGACCCTCAAAGGGTCTGTTTCAGCACTGATTTGTTATGGCATTATGAAAATGCCATACAATTAAATAAAATGCTAATTTTAAAAACCATGTAATTGCTAGAGATGCACTTTCCTTACTTTTACTTCTCTAAGTCTTTAATTATGAGATCTATTTCAGACTTCCATACATAAGTTTAATTTCCTATCAAAAGTTCAACATTTGAAAGATAACAATTGAAGACAATGGAAGTTCTAGTAAAATAAATCCAGGTTTCTTGTTAAAAGATAAATTCTAAACTTTAAAAATTAGAAGATCCTAAACATACATAAATACATAGTTGGGAGAATAAATCTTATTTCTCACATAAGATGTCATTAAGCTAGGTCAACTAAATCATACTTACCAAAGCATTAATATCCAACATGGAATGACATTCTTTAAATTTTGAAATTTCTTGTTCCAGTGTGTCTAATAAGACAACTTGGTTCTGTCTGAAACAAAAGCACACAGCCAAAATAAACTTTACATACTGTAAGTTCTGGTCCATTAAAAGGAGTTACATTCATCTTGGTTAATATTAAAGGTGGAAATAAGGTTGGAAATTTATTGACTCTTCAAGGCTTATTTGGTTTAGCATAACTTTTTTCAAAATAATATTCCAAGCCACATTCTGATAACTAAATGTGCCTTTTAGTTTTGCCTCAATTTCAGACTCTAATAACTAAAATCATCAAATCATTTTAACTTATTTTTATAATGTTATTTCTAGCAACTCTCTGCATTATCCCAAAAAAGTTTTTTATACTATCTTGCCCAAGAAACTTGATGTTTTATATATATCAAAATTGCAACATTACCATAAAGGAAATGAGGAGCAATGACTTTTCAGATTAGAGCTGGAAAAAATGCAGTATCAAGCGATAAATAAGATGAGGGGCGGGCCCCCATGGCGCAGCGGTTAAATGCACACGTTCCGCTTCGGCGGCCTGGGGTTCACTGGTTCGGATCCCGGGTGCAGACATGGCACCGCTTGGCAAGCCATGCTGTGGTAGGCGTCCCACATATGAAGTAGAGGAAGATGGGCACGGATGTTAGCTCAGGGCCAGTCTTCCTCAGCAAAAAGAGGAGGACTGGCAGCAGATGTTAGCTCAGGGCTAATCTTCCTCAAAAAAAAAAAGAAAGAAAGAAACAAGATGGAAAAAGCATAGGACTAGGAATCACAAGATCCCCTGCCAATAACTAGTTGTGTGATCTTGGAAATTTAGTTTCTTTCTCTGGGCCTAAATTTCTTCATTTATAAAAGTGAGAAGGTCAGACTAGATAACTTTTAAGGTTCCACATTAAAATTCTGACTCAAAACCTGTTGAGGAAGAGAAGCCAACTTCCCTAATATTCCTCTCAGATCAACCAATGGATCACAGGAAAAAGTGACCCTGAGGGGTCACCTAATTGAAGATTTTAAAGAAAACTACAGACAAACAAAAATATGATGTGATTTCCTTGCAAAACTATGTTAAACAGAACAGAGCTGAAAAAAAGAAACAGCAATGAAGAGCCTGAAGGGCAGTTACAACATCACCACCCCGTAAGGAGTTTCTCATATCCCACACGTCACATTCAGCTCTGACTAGAGATCACAGAAGGTGAAATACAGAATGGATGAGAGGAGAACCCAGGCAGACAACGATGTGAGATAAGCAGGACAGCAAAAACAGGCTGTTACAACCGGAAAACAATAGACAAAAGTCAACAAAACCAAAAGCTGTTCTTCAGAAGATCAATAAAATTGATAAATGTCTAGGCAGACTAACAAAGAAAAAAAGAGAGAAGACACAAATTACTAATATAATTAATGGAAGAGAAGTGATCACTACTGATCCCACGAACATTAAAAGGATAATAAAGGAATACTTTCAACAACTCTATGTCCACAAATTTGACAACTTAGATGGAAATTACTAATTCCTTGAAAGACACCAAAAACCAAAACTCACACAAGGAGAAACAGATACTCTAAATAGGCCTATATTTATTAGAAAAATTGAATCAATAAGTAATAGCCTTCCAGAAAGTACTAGGACAAGATGGCTTCACTGGTGATTTCTACTAGACACTTAAGGAAGCAATTATACCAATTCTCCATGATCTCGTCCAGAAAACAGAGCAAAGGGAGCACTTCCTAACTCATTCTATGAGGCCAGCATTACCATAAAACCAAACTAGATAAAGACAGTACAAGAAGGGAAAACTATACACCAATATTTTTCATGAACAAAGACGCAAAAATCCTCACCAAAATATCAACAAATCAAATCCAACAATGTATAAAAAGAATTATACACCATGACTAAGTGGGATTTACTCCAACTATGCAAAGCTGCTTCAACATTCAAAAACCAATCAACATAATCCACCACATCAACTGGCTAAAGAAAATCTGCACCATCATATCAGTTGATGCAAAAAAAAGCATTTGACAAAGTCCAACACCCATTCGTGATTAAAAACACTTTCAATAAACCAAGAAGAGAGAGGAACTTCCTCAACTTGATAAAGAACATCCAAAAAACCCTACGGCTAACATTACACTTGTGGTGAGATACTAGATGCTTTCTCCCTAAGATCAGGAGCAAGGAAAGGATGTCCACTCTCACTACTTCTATTCACCAGCATACTAGAAGTCATAGCTAATGCAATAAGCCAAGAAAAGGAAATAAAAGGTATACAGATTGGGAAGGAAGAAATAAAACTGTCTTTGTTCACAGATGACATGATTGCCTATGTGGAAAATCCCAAAGAATCAACAAAAAACCTCCAGGAACTAATATGTGAGTATAGCAAGGTTTCAGGATACAAGGTTAATATACAAAAGTCCGTTGCTTTCCTATATACTAGCAGTGAACAATTACAATTTGAAATTAAAAATCAATACCATTTACAATAGCTCCCCTCAAATGAAACACTTTGGTATAAATCTCACAAAATATCTACAGGGTCTATATGCAAAAACTATAAAACTCGAATGAAAGAACTCAAAGAAGATCTAAACAATGGAGAGATAGTCCAAGCATATGGAATAAAAGACTCAATATTGTTAAGATATCAATTCTTTCCAACTTAATCTATAGATTCAATGCAATCCCAAGCGAAACCCCAGCAAGTTATTTCATAGATATCAACAAACTGATTCTAAAACTCACATGGAAAGGCAAGGACCTAGAACACGGAACACATACTGAAGAAGAACAAAGTTAGAACACTCACACTGCCCAATTTCAATAAAACTACAGAAATCAAGACAGGCTGGTATTGGCAAAAGAACAGACACATTGATCAATGGAACAGTATAGAAAGCTCTTAACTAAACCCACACAAATATAGTCAACAGCTCTTTGACAGAAGCAAAGGCAAGGCAATAGAGAAAGGATAGTCTTTTCAACAAATGGGTGAGGGAGCAGTTGGACACTCATATGCAAAGAAATTAATCGAGATGCAGACCTTATACCTTTCATAAGAATTGACTTAAAATGGGTCACAGATCTAAATGTAAAATGTAAAACTCTAAAACTTCTAGAAGAAAACACAAGAGAAAATCTAGGTGACTTTCATTTGGTGATGAATTTTTAGATGCAAGACCAAAAGCATGATTCATGAAAAAAAAATTGGTAAGTCAGAGTTGGAAAGTGAAAAACTTCTGCTCCGCAAAAGACACTGTTAAGAGAATGAAAAGACAAGCCACACACTTGGAGAAAATATTTGTAAAACACATAAAGGACTCGTATCAAAAACATACAAAGAACTCTTTTCTCTTTTTTTTTTTTTTTTGCCGAGGAAGATTTGTCCTGAGCTAACATCTGTTGCCACTCTTCCTCTTTTTGCTTCAGGCAGATTCACTCTAAGCTTACATCTATGCCAATCTTCCTTTATTTTGTATGTGGGTCACCAGCACAACATGGCCACTGACGAGTGATATAGGTCCACGTCCAGGAATCAAACCCTGGCCGCCAAAGCAGAGCATGGTGAACCTAACTACTAGGCCACCGGGCCAGCCCATACAAAGAACTCTTAAAACTCAACAATAAGATGATAAACAATCCAATTTAAAAATGGGCAAAAGATCTGAAAAGACACCTGTTATATAATCATGAATTTGTCTGATCTTTGTCCCAGGTTTCTGGCATGGCAATTCTAAAACCCTTTGAATTTTCCAAATGATAGGAATTTATTATTCATGAACCTAAGTTTATGTTACTGAGGTGACTTATGGTGGGCCCCCCAGAGCTTCAGGATGAGGACTGGACAAGTCAGAAAGATTAATTGTGTGGTTAGAGGGTTGGGGCTTTGAGCCATGTGGTATCAGCCCATTCTCCAAGGAAGGGAGGGTGACTGGAGACTGAGTTCAATTATTTGGCCAATGATTCGATCAATTACACCTATGCAATGCAGCCCCAATAAAAACTCTGGACACCCATGCTCAGTGGAGCTTCCTGGTTGGTGAACACACTGATGTGCTGGGAGGGTGACGTGCCCTAATTTCACCAGGAGAGGCCACAGAAGCTCTGTGTTTGGGATGCTCCCAGACCTCGCTCTGTCTCTTCATTTAGATGGTCCTGACCTGTATCCTTCATAATAAAACTACAATTGTAAGTACAGTGCTTTCATGATCCATAAGTCTAGACACTATAGAAGAAGGTTCCAGAGAATATTTAGCTATAATGTAGTGGGGCAGAAATGATTGAACTTCCTTTGCCTTGAAGTTTTGTACAATCTAAGGTAAATATGCTGGGAGTGATTATGAGGCCTTGATGCAGTATCTGAGGAGTGATCTTCTGAGGAAAAGTTATTTCCTTGGAAGGTCCAAGCCTGAATTATCTCAAAGGAGGCAACTTACAACTGCACCTCCCCAGCTACTTTCAGGGACCTAGATCCTAGAACCTCTTTTTTCTTTCTTTCCAATGCTCTTAAAATGACAAATACATACAAAAGAATATTCATAGCCTTTCTTATATATAAAACTAAATTTCTTTCTTGGCCTCCCTTATCCATTGTTAGCTATAAAGTAAACTTAATTTGTATCTACTACTATCTGCTCCTTCACCTCTGTAGGCCTCTTTCTATAATGGTAAAGTGGCTTAATGAAGATTAAACTGTTTGATGACAGAGCCAGGACTAGAACCCAGGTGCCTCTCTCAGCCCAGCAGTCTTTCCCCTACATCTTCATCTGCAGTGAAATTGCTGGAGAGATGGATGAAAGAAGCAGCTACTAGAAAACACGTCTCTATTTCCTTTCTCTGAAATTTGCTTATATTTCCTTAATACTCAAGAGGTATAGTAAGTGCTTATCCATCATATTCAATTGTTAATTCTGCCACTACCTGTGTAATCTTTTTCAAGTTACTTAACCTCACTGACTTCAGTTTCCTCAACTGTCAATGGGAATAATGTTAGATACTTCATAAAGGGGGTGTCAGGATTAATTGAGATATGGTATATAAAGTGCTGGGCACGTAGTACATATAGACAGTAGCTGATTTTATCATCATCATCATTATCATCATCATCATGATTGGCTGGCTGCCTAGGAAGATAAATGAGGTTATTCAAAACACTAAATTTTAGCCAATGTCTTCATCAACTAAACTCTGCAAGTAAACATCGATTCCCAGCTTCTTCTAAGTAAAGTGTGATCCAGATATGTTTTGCTTGCAGAGTTTCTCACCTTCCTTCAGTCTATCTTACCTTATCCAAACTCCCCCACAAAATCTTTATGACTTTTTTGCCCTAAGCATTGACTAGCATCAAAATACAAGGCATACCACACACTAGGGATAAAAAAATCTCACTTGGAACTAGAAGAAAACTGAGAATGTTGCCAACTTTCTAACTAAAGTAATGTCCCACATGTGCTAGAACATAGTACCACTTTGATACTCATTCATCACTTTCAAATCCAAGGATTACAACATTACTTACTAATATTTATTAAATGGACACAGTTGATTATTCCTCTCCTTTTGCCCTCATAAAGGCTTGTGAGATAAATTTTCAAAGGGTAGGTCTTAGGGCAGCAACACTTCACAGCCAGTTGAAAGCTGACCACCACAAAAAGAAATGACACGCCAGCCTGGGCAATCCAGAGAGGTCCTGACGCAGGAGGAAGCAGAAGTTAAGTCTGCTATTTCTGGGTGTGAGCTGATAAAGTCAGAGTGTATATTTTTGCATACTGGTCCCACTCTGTGGGTTCTGTTCTTCCTTATCCTATTCCTCTCTTAGCATATCCTCCAACTCTTTATTTAGCTAGTAGAGTTAGCTACCAGGAATGAAATGGGTCATCTCAAAAAAAGATACTTAAGGATTTCTGGAAACTCATGTGAACGGACAACTGAAAAAAGTGTGACTTTTACAGAGGCAATCTTTCAACTGTACTCAGAAACAGTTCTATACCCATCCTGCAACACTCCGACACACAATACTTTCATAAAATAATGGTAAAACACCAAACTAATCAGAGTCTAGATAAGATTTAGGGGTACTTCTCAGAAGAGATCATACACTCTAGGAATATTCATTTCGTATTTTTTTACATTTGTACCCGTCCACTTCCATTTGCTATCACTAAAGATATAGAAATACTTGATTGTATTAAAGGTTACAAAATATACCTTAACACAGAATACACTCATACAGTAAATTACGACTACGCCCGAGGGGAAAGGAGCGCTTCTGTGGTTTCTGTTAGCTCACGTGAGTTCCTGGAGGGCCTGTTTGGATCTCTGCAGATCGGGCAGGTAGTGAGAAAGCAATCCTTCAGCCAGTTGCTCCACAGCTTTGTCGTCTACCATCAGGTCCTCTACTAACCCTTCGTCTGGAGAAGTGTCACTTAAACCTGTTCCCAAGCAAAAATCGAATTTAGGAAACTTTTACACTGACACAGAGAGTGGGAGGGAGGGAGGGAGAGGAGGCTGGCAGTGGGTTCAGAGCACACACACACGATACTACAGCGTCCTGCTTTTCTGTTTTTTTAACATTTACCTTCTGAGCTGCCTCTAAAAAGTGGGTTATAAGCACTCAAAAATTGTTTTTAAGCTACTAGTATAAGGTAAAGTTCAAGTTAAAAGAATACTAACACAAGCAAAATCCTGTATATTTGCTATTTTTCAAGTAAAGGATTTAGTTTTCAATGGATTATTAAAGGAGTCTGAGTTCTAAAAATGGGAAACAGTCACTAAATTAAAGTAAGAAATTCTCACTTTCAGAAGCTTACAGAAATTATATTTTAAAAAATGCAATGCCTAAAAATACTTTTTTTCAATTCTATGCAAGTAAAAACATGGGTCAATATTTATTTTGCCTATTGCTTGATATATTATTTACATGTAACGGGGGGGTTGTTTTATCATTTGTTAGAGAGAAGAGGAGAGATTTTCTAAGAATTTCTCTTCTCTTGAGATTCAGCACCTTAACTTCTCATAGAAAATAGTGTATGACTGTCTAGTGTCATCGATCTAGACGTGATGCCAGGTACTATGCCTCATACTCTTCCTTTGAATAATAACAGTGTAAGCCCTGTGCCAGGCATTCAAAAATGTCTAAAAGGAATACCCATCAATCACTACTCCTTCCAAGAAAAGTACAAAACAATTTCTAAACCAGGTTCTATTAAGGGTTTGTGAGATTTTAGAATCACTAGTTTAGAGTGAGAGAAAAAAAAAAGTGAGATGGTCGCATTACCAAAATTGAACTCTAAAAGCATTTTTAAACTATTAAACTCTGAACATCTCTCTTCAATCATAATGTGTTAATAACTGGTGACATCAAATTAGAAAATTATATAGAATACATTTATCATGACACATTGCTTTTAGACCATTTCCAAGCATAGTTTTTACCACAGATTTAAATTTTGGCAAGATTGAGAAAAACAATATGCTGCCATGTTCAAAATAAGCTTTCAGAGATCAGAATAAAATAGTGTGATTTTTATTTTGATCCTGAGAAACATGAACAAACTTAGGAATTCTCAAAGTTGCAAGGCAATATTCAAACAAGTAAGAGCTAACTAGAAACTGAAGCACTCCATAAGTGAAATAAAAATATAATGGGAAAAGTGGCTCATTAATGAATACTGCCATTGCTGTACCATCAGATGGGATGTGAATAAATTATACACAAGAATTAACACCATGGCTTAAGGCTTGATTACAATAACAGTGCAAACAGCAGCAACTTTAAGAAAATACAGAAAACATAAGTATTACAGATAAAGAGAAACACCCAAATAAGGATATTTCAACTTTAAGGTATAATAACTAATATACTTCCCTTACAATATATATACATTTAACTCTTAGGACATCCCTCCCCCTAACTTGCCCCTGCCCCAATCTTCTGGTGAATTATTGGAAGAGTCTAAGTTACTCAAGTTTCTGTATACATTTAGTTACTAAGTTCAAGGTACTTCATTATGAGAGATCAAAGAAAAAAGGGTCTTGACCATATTCATACGGCAAATCTATATTATGTACTAGGTTCTGAGGTTACAACAATAAACTAGGCAAATCCCCTTCCCTGAAAGAGCTCAATCCAAAGGAATCTTAGAACGTGAGAAGGGCCATTAGAGAGACAGAGACTGTCAGGGGAATTCAGAGGAGAGAAAGATCACTCTCATCAGGGAAGTCTGGGAACAATTCCTAAAGGAAGTGTGGGCATTTGAGGCTGAAGAAGTTTGAAAACTGGATGGAATTTTCATTTCAAGTGTTACTCATAGTAAAAATTTAAAACACAAGAAAAGGGGGCATAAACTGAAAAGTAAAAATATTCCTTTTCACTCCTTACTCCAGACAGAGTCACTCTGGAGTTTCTTAGATAGCCTTCAAGAAACTGTCTTTGCATATGCACACATAGAGTGTTTTTATCACAAAAGAACTATTACTCATATTGTTCTAAACTTTTAAATATATATCTTAGGTATTTTTTCCATATCAATATATACAGATCTACTACATTCTTTTTAACAAAATAGAATTCTACCATATTTGTTTAATCAGTTCCCTATTGTTTGGGACTAAATGTTTGTGTTCCCCCAAAATTTACATTTAAGCCCTAACCTCCAACGTAATGGTAATAGGAGGTGGGGCCTTTGGGAAGTAATTAGGTTTAGATGAGGTCATGAGAGTGAGGCCCCCATGACGGGACTGGTGTCCTTAAAAGAAGAGGAAGAGAGACCAGAGCTCTCTCCCCCCACCACGTGAGGACACAGTGAGAAGGCAGCCGTGCGCAAGATAGCAAGAGGGTCCTCACCAGAAAACTAATCTGCCAACACCTATATTGTGGATGTCCCAGCCTTCAGAATTTCCAAGAATAAATGGCTGCTGGTTAAGCCACCCAGCCTACTACGGCATGTTGTCATAGCAGCCCAAGAAGACTCAGACACCTATGAATGGGTACTGAGGTTATTTTCACTTTTTGCTATTTCAAACAATGTGTCAGTCTTTCTGTACAAGAAATTCTTAGATTGACAGGACAAAGGGTTTATGAATTGTTAAAGTACACATTGCAGAACTGCCTTCCTAAGAAACGGCACCAATTTATACTCCTACCAACAATCTAAGAAGAGGACTACTATTTCCACATGGGTACGAATTCTAAAGAGGAAAAGGGAGTCAATATGGGTGAAGAAAGCAGTACAAGGGAAGGAGGGAATATGGGATTGCTCTGGAAAGAAAAGGTAGTTTGGGATGTCTGGAGTATGTGGCATATAGCGTAGTGAGCTATAAGATCACGTGGCCAGCCTATAAGAACACTTGAGCGCCAAGCTAATGGGCTGGACGTATGTTTAGTGAGTAGTAAGGAGCCACTTAAGGCTTCCAAGCAAGGAAATGACACAACTGGAGCTTTATCTTGGGGCACCGATGGGCAGGAGAGGGACAGACAGACTGGAGGTGGACTAGTATTACAATTGTTGTGCTAAGGGTGAAAATACAAAGAGGAGGTGGCAGCTGGATAGTAGAACCCCCTAGACCTAAGAGAGGCTGGAGGCAAGCGAGAGGAAAAAGTCAACAGTAATGTCAAAGTATCAAGTGAGAGTGACTTGGCACCATTAATAGGATCAGACATCTGCTTTTATTTATGTACATGCTGTATGTAAGGTTAGTGCAAAACAACCACGTCAAAGTATGCAAGCAGATGGAGAAGCAGGCAAGAGTTAGGAAAGGGACCCCAGCTTCATACATATAGGGAAGTCATATTTATAAAAGCAACTTATTAAGGAGTGAAGAGAGGGGGAGATCACTGAGGACAAGCAAGACCAAGAAAGAGATGAGAGCACTATTTTGGGATAATCCCTATATTTCTGAAACAGGAGGTAAAACAAAAGGCACATCCAAAGTCCTGCGGCCTTTCTCATCTAGGGTTCCCTATCCGTAACACAGAAACTGCTCTGAGCAACTATTTTCTCAATTCTCCCAAAGATGGTACATAAATAGTACCATTCTGGATGCAAAGCAAGTCAACTCATTACATTCAATGCATGCCTTAGAGCATTAGGACTTAAACCTCTCCTGGAACTCCAGATGAGAAAGACTGCTGGAGGAACAGGGACACAGTAATGTCAACCAGCAAGACAGGGCATTCCATGATTGAGCGGTCAATAATACTGGATACATCAATTCTCTGAATTTCAAACCGATCATCCTTCTGACAAATTCATCCTCAACCACTTACGCCTAACAAAGAACCGATGTGCTGGAGTCAGCGCACAAACTCAGAACGACTTCACCACCAATCGCCTCCCACTGCACCCCATACACCGCTTCCCCTCCAGGCCTCCCGTCCCGCCCACTCCGCCGGGCAGGGGGCTCGGCGCGCTTCCCCACTTCTGCACGCGGGCCAGAACCTCGGGGCCGCAGCTGCCAAAAACTGCTTACTCCCGCGGGGCGGCCCGGGAGACCCAGCCACTCGGTCCCGGCCGCCCGCCCCGCCCCGCAGCACGTACCCAGCGTAGGCTCCGCGGCCCCCAGACAGTCCGGCGGCGCTGTCAGGACCCCGTCCGGGGGGGACGGCCCAGGGACGCTCATGTCCCTTCCGCTGGTAACAGGCAAGGGGCAGCTGTGTAGACTGTCAGATGCAGGAAGGAGGAACCGAACGCATCCAGCGCCCGGCCGGACAGAAGCGACGGTCGCACCGGAAGTGACGAAGCCGGAAGCTGGCAGCCTCGGGGCCCGTGACCGCCTCCTCCTCCACCACCACCACCACCACCCCCCCCTTAATCCCCCAACGCCATCCCACGCTGGGCGCTCCCGTGACTGGGCGCTGACGTCGTAGTTGGATGGAGGAGGTGGTGTCAGTAGACTCAGCGATGCTGGCTTCCAGTCCCTGCTGCCCTGTTGTAGGGGGCGGGGGACAAGAGGGCGGTGGGCGGAAGGGCCTGCTCCGGGTGGGTCTGGAAGACGGCCAGAGCTTTGTGTTGATGGTGGATGAGCTTTCAATTTGTTCACTGAGGCCATGCCCAGCTTTTCAATTCTGTGTCCGTGTTAAAGCAACACCTTAGAACGAGGACTGCGTGCTTTGCCTGCGAGTTGGACTATTAAAAGAATTCCGTGTTTAGCTCTCTGTGAGCTTCGGCCTTGCTAATGATTGGGAGATTTTCCACCATTCTGGTTTCCTCTTGTTGATTGTTAAGTGGATGATTTGAGGCCCGAGTGGCAGCATCTACTGAATGAATTCAGCCAAATTACTGGAAATTGTACTTGCTCAGATCCTGTGGGATGATGTCATGAATTTTGATGGAAAACAAATTGGCAGAGGCAACCTCACACCAACAAAACAATCAGCTCTGCCCTCCTACCTTAAACTCTTTACCTTGCCTGTAGTTGTGACCTTCTAATGTTGCTCCTCAAAATTGCCTGTCCAATTTTCTATGCTGCAGTCAAAGCTGTCTTCAAAAAAATGAGAATTTATGTCAAGCCTCAGAAATTTGCACCTTACCAGTGCATTCACACTCCTTCCTCTTTTGGCCTCCTTTCTTCTCAAGTTTAGCTCCTCCTTACTACCTGTGGTAGGCAGAATAATGGCTGCCCAAAGATATCCAGTCTTAATCCCCATAATTTATGAATATAAATTTCATGACAAAGAGGAATTAAGGTTTCTAGTCACCTGATCTTAAAATAGATTATCCTGGATTATTGAGTGGGCCCAATGTAGTCACCAGGGCCTTCAAAACTGGAAAAGGGGAGGCAAGAGAGTTGAGTGAGGAGGGAGATGGGACTATGAAGAATGATTAGAGAGATGTAACACTGCTGGCTTTGAAAAGAGAGGAAGGGGGCCACCAACCAGGATTGTGGTGACCTCTAGAAACTGGAAAAGCCAAGGAAACAGATTCACCCCTGGAGCCCCTGGAATGGAACTCAGCCCTCCAGCTCCTAAATTTCATCCCAGTGACACCTTTGTTGGACTTTTGACCTACAGAGCTGTAGGAAACTAAATTTGTATGGCTTTAAGTTTATGGTAATTTGTTAACCTTGGCAACAGAAAGTAATACACTACCTTCAAACATCCTTTGTCCCATCTGAGCATACTCCTAAAACTAAGCCCTTTCACATCTGTCATGCTCTTGCTCATGCTTCAGCCTGGAATATTCTATTCTTTTCAAAGTCCTACTCATCTTTCAAGGCTCGTCCTAAATAATACCTTTACTTTAAAATCATTCACGATGTTACCTCCCCTTTCATTCAGAAGTTACAGTAATAACCTTTTCTCATCTACAAAGCATCCTCCTGCTATTTAGCACTTAATCTATTCTTGTATTAGTCAGTTATTTCCCTTGACTTCCTATATTAGATTGCAAACTCCAAACAGAAACTCTTATTCACAGGGAACCATAATAGGTTCTTAATAAATATTTGGTGAATGAATGAAGTATTAATTCCAGACCCAAATCCCAAATATCTATAATCTCCAAACTCTGCATCACACAAGATGGCACTTGGTAAACTGCCTGGTAACCTTAGCTGATTCTTAGTATTATCTCCCAACTAGTTACTGAGGCCCTTCAGAAAAGACCCATGTTCTATGGGTTGTCTGTAACCTCTTTATCTCTTAGCACAGAATTAAGCATAATACGTGGATTTTTAAATGTTGGTTTTTTTAATTTAATGGATGAAATTAAACTAACACTCTGCCTATTTTTATCATCTTTTCCTTCTATTTGTCTTTAAGGGAAAATTCACATTAGAAATTTTGATGAGTGTTCCTTTTCAGCATTGTAACTTCACTTAATGTGACAAAAATGAATCAGACAGACAATAAGGACTTTCTACCAGACCCATCTTGCTTTTCTCTTTCTCCTTTTCCTTCTTTACCCCTACAGATTTCAGCTAAGGGATCAAGTGGTTGTTGAGGACGCTCTGTGTTCCTGTCTCCATTAAGCAGGTACTGGGCCCCTATACTACAGGTAACACAGAGTTCAAAATCCAAAGGTTGGAAATTGATGCCAAGGAAGTAAATACAGTTCATTGAGTTACATATGTCTTTCAAAATTCCTGTTATTTCTCCACTGGTAGTGGCCATTCTCTTTTATGAACCAAAGTTATAATCTAGTCCAAATGGCTGAGTACCAAAAATTGGACCAGGCACTTTAGGGTGTAAAAAAAGAGGTAAGATTTTGGTTCCCATCCATCAGGAATTTATGTTCTACCATTTATACATAGCATTAGTGAGCATGACAGTAAAGTGCTAACTTATGTGGAACAGACCTAGAGGATTGTAAAGGATGTAATGATATTGTACTAGTTTCCTATGGCTGCTGTAACAAATTACCACAAACTTGGTAGCTTAAAACAGCACAGCTTTATTATCTCACAGTTCTGGAGTCAGAAGTCCAAAATCACTCTCAGTGGGCTAATGTCAAGGTGTCAGCAGGGCTAGTTATTTCTGGAAGCTCTGAGGATAATCCACTTCCTTGCCTTTTGCAGCTTCCAGAGGCTGCCCACATTTGCTTGGCTCATGGCCCACATCACATTACCTTTTCTCCCTCTACTACCATTGTCACATCACCTTCTCTCCTACTCTGATCCTCCATCTACCTCATGTAAGGACATTGAGTCCACCTGCATAACCCAGGATAATCTCCCCATCTCAATGTCCTTAATTTAACCACATCTGCATAGTTCCTTTTGCCATGTAAGGTAACATTCACAGATTCTGGGGAATCAAAAGTGGACATCTTTGGGGAGGCCATTACTCAGCCTACCACAGATGTGCAGTTGTGGAGTGTACAATTGGGAAGTAACTAGAGAAATTTTAAAAACTTAAAGGAAATGAATGTAAGCCATACCTTGAAGGACAGGTCAGGTGTAATATGCAGAGAAAAGCTAATAAAACCTACCAACAGGAAAAAAACACCATAGTTAGCAAAAGTATACTTCAGAGTCAAGGACCTTACTACTGACCACAAACACAGGTTCGTTACCCAAGGTGAGGAAGGCCAAATCACTGAAACATCAGGCCTGTGATAAGGAAAGAGGTTTATCACGGAAAGGCAACCAGACGAGGAGATGGGAGTTAAAACTCAAATCTAATTCCCAGAAGGGAAAAAGGTAAGAGTTTTTATCTGGGGTTTTAGGTAGGGGAGAGAGAGCATGTGCTGGGTTTTTGGGTAGGGGAGGGGAAGCATGTGACTTTGGCTGGTATCTTCAGCCTGTGTTTTGTCTTGAAGATTGAATCTCTTTTTTCCTTGACAGTCTGGACTTTTCTGGTTGGTTTTCATGCTCAGCCTTCATTTTGCCTTATGAGACTGAATATTTTTCTTTTCTCTTGATGTCTGGACCTTGACTTCCTGGGAAAAACAGCCCCCTCATATGCTAAGGAGGGACAGAAAGACCTGGTTAGGTTTAAACAACAGTTAATTATGTTGAGTATACACAGCTGCAGTCAGCAGAACTTATCTCAAATTTTTTCTCTCTTTTAACTCATTCGTTCTCGATTTTGACCTCAAAGTGCTAACTGTCTTTTGGAGGAGACAAGAGTAGTGCAGATTAAATGGTTAGTAAAAGAACCTAATGGAGAAAGGTATTGTATAGTCTTTTAGACTAAAAGAACTTTTAAGAAAACAAAAGATAACACAAAATGTAGTCATATAGCTCTGAAGAGGTTAGCCCAAAGAAACGATATCCAGATAGAGTTAAACACTGTATATATTCATGCAAAAGGAAAATAAGTCCATTGGATTTCGAGGACCTTGAAATCCAAAAGAAGGAGAGCAAATATAATGCAATAAATACGTCAAAACTGTTTATCCACCTTTCAGTTTTGCTGTTTTCCTTAAATTTTCCTATATCCTTTTTTTCCTAACCAAAAGGGATTAGGTTGGTAGGAATTTCAAGTAAATAAAAACAAACATTAATACGTGAATATTTTCTATTTGTTTTATTGATCAGGATGACTTATATTTAGAATGTACTAGGATTTGATAAAATCTACTCCCAGTTTGACCTACTTCTCTCACAGGATTTGCTTCCCCTCTCACCTTTATCTCTCTCCATCCTTTTCCAAAAATAGAAGAAAGAATGGTGGGGGGCGGGGGGCAAAAGGATTTGAGTGAGAAAGATATAGGGACCAGGAGCCACAGAGAAAAGGGATGGAAAAAGGGAACATACACAGGAGAAAGATGTTACCGCCTATGACCTTATGATTCCAGCGGATTAAAGTGTTGAAAATTTGAAAAAAACTCATATAGGGTGATGTGTTTGCAAAATAAAAAGGAAATAAGGGAACTAAAGGTACAAAATCAGAGAAGTTGGGATACTAAAAAAAAAAAGCAGTTTACCATTTTGCCTATGGGTAACCAATCTGAGAAAATAATATTTTATCAAGCAATTTTAACCACTTTTCTCTTCATATATTTACATGAGAAATGTTCTTTCACATTAGCAAAGTGCTAAACCACTTCCACCCAATGCAGCTCTGCTACACTCTCCATCGTAACTTCCTTGGATTACGTAAAAACCATATTTTATACAGATTATTTCACCAACACATTCTCCTAACTTTGCCACCAAAAAGTTTGTAAAATATGTGCAGAGGTCAAAAGCCATGGCTTTTGAGGGTTTTTTAAATAGACTTTTTTAGAACAGTTTTAGGTTCACAGCAGAATTGAAAAGAAGGTACAGAGATTTCCTATATACCTTCTGT